CCGCTTTCATCACCCCCCCGCAAATCCCCCCCCCCTCCCCGCCTCCCCCCCTTCCCAAACCCCTTAATTAAGGCTAATTAACCCAGCAGCAGCTCCACGCAGAGGCTGTCGTCGTCGGGGTCGAAGGGCCGAGGCAGGAGGACCCTGATGTGGAAGGGCTGCCCCCTGCGGACCACCATGTTGGGGGAGGAGAAGTCGGCCGTGTGGTGGGCGATGCGGTCGGCCCTTGAACCCACAACCAAACCTCGGGGGACCAGCAGGCCTGGGGGTGGGGGGGGGGGAAGAGGGGTGTTGAGACCCCCAAAAATGGAAGATTTGACCCCGAAAATGGGGTCGGGGGGCTTCAGTTCCCTTTTGGGAGGGTGAAAATAGAGAAAAATGGGTTTTGGGGGGGCTCGAAACCGACATTTCTGACACAGCGGGGTCGAACTGGGGGGTTTTGGCCCCCAAGATTTGTAGGTTTGACCTCAAAATGGCAGTTTTTCCCTTAAAATGGCACTTTTTGCCCCAAAATGAGGATACTGGGAGGGCCTTAAATGCCATTTATTTACAAAAACCCCGAAACGACCCTTTTGGGGGGGCCTTGAAACCGACATTTCTGTCGGCGTGAGACTGAAAATCGTGATTTTTGCCCCAAAATTGGCAGTCTGACCCCAAAATCAGCACTTTTTACCCCAAAATGAGGACACTGAAGACGAATATTGGGGTCTTAAGTCCTATTCATTTACAAAACCCCCCAAAAAAACCCTTTTGGGGGCCTTGAAACCGACATTTCTGTCGTCGTGAGACTGAAAATCGTGATTTTCACCCCAAAATTGGCAGCCTCACCCCAACATGGCACTTTTTACCTCCAAAATAGCACTTTTTACCCCAAAATGAGGACATTGAAGACGAATATCAGGGTTTTAAATCCCATTCATTTATAAAGACCCCCAAAGCAACCCTTTTGGGGGGCCTTGAAACTGACATTTCTGTCGTTGTGAGACTGAAAACTGTGATTTTTGCCCCAAAATTGGCAGTCTGACCCCAAAATCGGCACTTTTTACCCCAAAATGAGGACACTGAAGAGGAATATCGGGGTCTTAAGACCCATTCATTTACAAAACCCCCCCAAAAAACCCTTTTGGGGGGCCTTGAAACAGACATTTCTGCTGTTGTGAGATGGAAATGGATGGTTTTTACCCCCAAATAGGCACATTTTACCCCAAAACTGCACTTTTTACCCCAAAATCAGGATGCTGGGGGGGCCTTAAATCCCATTCATTTAAAAAAAAAAAATGACCCCTTTGGGGGAGCCTGAAAACCAACATTTCTGTTGTTGTGATACAGAAATTGGTGGGTTTTGCCTCAAAATCTACAGTTCTGACCCCCAAACTGCACTTTTTACCCCAAAATCGGGGTGGGGGGAGCGATACTGGGGAGGGGGGGGCTTTGATCCCTGAAATTGCCCCTTGGAAAGGGTTGAAATCCCTAAAAATGCCCTTTTAGGGGGGCCTCGAAACCGACATTTCTGTCATCTCGTGGCTGAAATCCGTGGTTTTCACCCCAATTTTAGCACTTCTGCCCCCAAAACTGCACTTTTTACCCCAAAATGAGGACGTGCCATAGAAGGGAAAGGGGGCAGAATGAAAGACCCCCCCCCAACCCCAAATCCAGCCTTCAAAACCCCATTTCTTAGATCCGGGGTGCCCCGAAACCGTCATTTTTCCTCCCGAAATCCCATTTTCGGGGGGATTTTTTAGCCTTAAATCCCATTTTTTCACCCCGAAAACTCACCCGGCCTCAAAGCTTGGGGGGGTCTTCGTCCTGGCACCTCTCCTGGGGGGGGGTCCCAATCCTCACGGCCGCGCCGACAGCACCCACAGCACCCGCAGCACCCGCCCAGCCGGCGCCAAAAGGAGGGCCTGGGTCTGGGGGGGGGGGCTGGGGAAGGAGACCCCCGCATACGGAAACTGGCTGCGGCCCAACGGCCCGGGTCCAGGCGGGGGTCGGCGTCCGGCATGGCCTGCGGGCCAGTATGGACCAGTATGGACCAGTATGGACCAGTATGCACCAGTATGCACCAGTATGCGCCAGTATGCGCCAGTATGGAGCAGCATTGGAATGGTGTGGACCAGTAAGGACCAGTAAGGACCAGTATGGACCAGTATGGACCATAGGGACCAGTAGGACCAGTAGGGAAAATAAGGACCAGTAGGGACCAGTATGGAACAGTAGAGACTGGTAGGGGCCATAGGGACCAGTATAGACCAGTATGGACCAGTAGGGACCAGTAGGGACCAATATGGACCAGTATGAGTACAGACCAGTAAGGACCAGTAAGGACCAGTAGGGACCAATAGGGACAGGTAGGGACAGGTATAGACCGTAAGGACCAGTATGGACCAGTAGGAACCAGTATAGACCATAAGGACTGGTAGGGACCAGTATGGACCAGTAAGGACCAGTAGAGACCAGTATGGAACAGAATGGACCAGTATAGACTGGTGGGAACCAGTATAGACCAGTATGAGTACAAACCAGTAAGGACCAGTATGGACCACTAAGGACCAGTATGGACCAGTATGGACAGGTAGGGACCGGTTCACCCAGTATGGCCCAGTAACACCCCAGTTCCCCCCAGTACAGCCCAGTTCCTCCCAGTACAGCCCAGTATCCCCCCAGTACTCCCCCAATTCCCCCCAGTTCCTCCCAGTACAGCCCAGTATCCCCCCAGTACTCCCCCAATTCCCCCCAGTTCCTCCCAGTACAGCCCAGTATCCCCCCAGTCCCCCCCCAATTCCCCCCAGTTCCTCCCAGTATAGCCCAGTTCCCCCCAGTATAACCCCCCCCCCCCCAGCACAGCCCCAGTGCAGCCCCATAGCCCCTCCCAGTCCCTCCCAGTTCCTCCCAGTCCCTCCCAGTCCCTCAGGCTCACTGGTCCAGGCCCGCCCGAGCCGCTCCCCCCGCCAGACCAGTTCCCCCAGTTCGCCCGCCGCCCCCTCCCAGTGCTCCCAGTAAGGCTCCAGCGGCCCTCCCAGTGCCCCCCTGTAACCCCCCCCCCAGTGCTCCCAGTAACTCCCAGTAAATCAAACTGCCTCCCCTCCCAGGAACTCCCAGGAACCCCTCTGGGTCCTCCCAGTTTGCCCAGTATCCACCACGAGGTCCTCCCAGTAACCCCTCCCAGTGCTCCCAGTCCTCCCAGTAACCCCCTCTGAGTCCTCCCAGTCCTCCCAGTTCCCCCTCCCAGTTCCCCC